TATTTTGATTACTGCTTTGACTCTGCTGCCTGTTATGGTAGCCATGCCTACCTTGTCTTTGTCAATTAAGTGCTGCCATTTGGCCTCACCACCATGGGGTCCAATCAGTCCTACTGTAGTTAGGTGTCTTAATTCAGTTAGGGCAGTTCCCACTGTCAAATCTGACTTACATAAAATAGCAATCACAGCAGTCTTCAAGGATGCTTGGGCTCCCTTCACAAATTTTTTTCTCACTGTTGTGGTAAAAGGTGTGTCCTCTGGGTACTCCATGTGTGAGTCTGTGGGTCTAACCTGATAAATCCACTCTAACATGCCAATTTCCCTAAGCCTTTGGATACCTTCTTCTACAGTATACCAAAGCAGGTCTGGTACTTCAACTTGATTTAGTGTAGGCACTAAGTAATCCATGCTTTAGCAAACAAACTAAATAAACAATTAGACCCTTGTCTGTCCTCTCCAGCTGAAATATTGAATGAAGGATCTGTGCTTGGTAGGCCCGTATCAATAAACTCAGACTGATCCAATTTTATATTCCTTGCACTCTTATCCCATACACTTCATAGCCATTCCCACATATATTCCCCAGGTTTCTGTTTGTATATGTTAGAAAAATCAAGCAGTTCTTTTGGAGTATAGCATACTTCCTTCTAGATCACACTTTGTATTTCACATTTTGAGGCTCACTGGGACTTAAGTCTAGTTATAGGTCTAGAAGCAAAAATGGGTGGTGGGGTGGGTCCTGGAAACATTCAGCAATGTCTTGTATGGCATCTGCCTGAGATGATGCCCTGGCAGAGCTGGGTCAATCTCATCAAATGGTGGTGGGAGGGATAATGGTGACAAAGGTGGAATAATCTCTTCAGATGGGAGGGGTGGTGCTGTTGGCAGGAGTGATTCAGTGGGATTTAGAGGTTTGGTGTCCCCAGTTTCCTGACTATCTGCCCCTATGTCCCCATCCCAAGTTTCAGGATCCCATTTCTTCCTTCTCAATGCCCTCACTTTAACTTCAGACACCATTGAAGGATGAGAATTCAATTGGCCTTGTAACTCAGCCACTCTTATGATAAGACTCTGGGTTTGGTTTTTGGCAATATCAGCTCTGTGACTACAAGAAACAAGGCTTTCTTTAGGGCACAATTGGCCGCTTTCAGATCTTTTATGTGGTACTTGAACTGTGACTCTGAAGTTCTGAGCTCATCTCCTTTTTTTGACCACTTCATCTAGCGAAAGGAGGACCAACCAGTTTCCTTATACTTCTCATTCTGACAGGATTATAGAAAAGTATCCCATTGCAATCACCTGTAACCTTGAGTTTCACAAATATTTGATCTATTGGTGGTGATATTTTGCTTATTTCTACTGCCATCTCACACCACGGATTAGCAGTGCCCTCTTTACTACTGGAGGCAGAGTCATCAATGCCTTTAAGACTAGCCAGACTTTAGAACCAATTTAGAAAACTCATTTTTACAATTTTGTTTCTCTAGAACCACCCTCAGTACCAAATATCTTAGGCTGGGTTCTCTCGAGAAGCAAAACCAATGAAGCATATGTATATAAAGAGAGATTTATCTCAAGGAAATGGTTCACATGGTCACAGAGGCTGGCAAGTCCCAAATCCGTGAGACATGGGCAGGCTGGAGGGTTCTCCTGACTCAATTGGTTGCAGGAGCTGATGGACCCACAAGTGGCAGGTCAGATGACAGGCTATTGGCTCACTGGGCTGCCAAAACCAAAAACCCAAAGCCATTGCCGTCGAGTCAATTCCAACAAATCCCAGAATCAGCAGGTCAGACAAGAGGCTGCTAGCTCAAGTCCCAAGAACCAGAGGTCATAATGAGCCAGATATAAGATCCAGAGTGAGAAAGAGTTTTGCCAGAGCATCCATATATATAATTAATTCAGGGCACACCCTCAAGGAAACTCCCTTTACATCAGATAAGGTGGTGAAAGGCGGTGACTTAAACAAGGGTGTGATTTGAGTAAAGATGGTGACTTGAGTAAGGGTGTGACTTGAGTAATGCTGTGCCTTGAGTCATGCCCTTTAGTACTCAAGATACACCCCACATTAATCCTGCCTCATTAGTATATAGAGGTTTAAGATTTACAACACATAAAATGGAGGATAATTATACAATACTACAAAATGGAAGACAATTACATAGTACTGGAAATCATGGCCTAAACAAGCAGACACATAACCTTAACCAGCACAACACCCCTCCTCCCAATCTATTCAAATCCATCATTCAAAGCCCAGCTTAAGACCTATTTACCTCCATAAAGCTTTCAACAACTCCAACTCACGGTAATTTCCTCCATCTTTGAATTACTAATCTGTGAACTTCTAGGTTCATAAACAATTTTAAGCTTTATTAATTTTAAATGTCCTTCAATCATTTCTTCATAGCTTCATCTCCCTAATTTAGATTGCTAAAAACATTAAGGCACTTTTCTCCCACACACCACACCTCCTCCCCTCCACATACACTCACTGCTCTCAGGAAGTACTGTCGATTAATTTATTAATTGCTTAAGCAAGGAAGTCTATCACACACTAGAAAAGGAAGTTCGGTCTGCAATTAATTAGGACAAACCCTTCTTTTTTGCAATTGCTTTTTATCTCTTTTTCATCATTCCTAGCCTCTCTCGAGTTTGACCTTTTCCTCTTGTTGCTGCCTGCCCCCTAATGGAAGATAATAATAAATAAGTTAAAATTAGCCTGGGGGGTGGGGGGGAGTAGAGGGTTCCTTTACTATAACCCATAACCTCAATTTCAGTTCCTCAAGTAACTGTTATAAAAGATAAAATCATTTTAATTGGAATAGCAAAATATAATTTGAACACACACACAAAAAATATAGAAACATTAGGACTAAAAGTAGGAGGAAGAAGGAGCATGGGGAGGGGAGAGTGTGAGAGAAAGGGACCAAGCACAGAGTGGAGGAACTTTGCTCTGAAGTAGACAGTTTAGATTGTTTTCGTCTCTTACATATTTTTTTTAAATAAGCCTTGCCTACCACTACCACATTGCTGGAAGTTATAAGTAAGTAAGCAAACAAAAAAGTAAATAGAAAAAAATGTTATGTTTTATAAGGAAGTAATTAGCTCTTTTGCTCTTTTGGGAATTCATCTTATAAAAAGATAGATTTCTATTTGGCAGTATTAGTAATTAAGACATAAGGTCATTGTCCCAAAAGGTTTGTTTCTCATTATTTTAGATCATTTCATGTTGAATTTACGAGGCCAAATCACTGCACATAAAGTAATTTGCTTTTTATATCTTGATCCTAAACATCTCGATAACCTATAATGATAAAAGCACAAACTTCAGAGTTTGATATATGTAGTATCTCCTAGTTATGCTCAGAAACAGTTTTAAAATTCAAACCGTTAAACCTAGTGCAGTTTTCCATAGACAGACAGTTCCTGGTGTAACTGGGTTCCCTGCCATCTCGGGTGCTGCACAGGTCTGTGTAAGAACTGTCTTCAAGAATATCCCAACTACTGAAAGATTCAGATAACTTGATTTTTTTCTTACATGAGTAAATAGTCCATCTAAGTTTATTTCCATTTTTTATTTCCACTTTGTTTCCATTTAAATGAGTAAATAGTCCATTTAAGTTTACAACTGAGTATTGGCTTCACTTTGGCTCAGTGGTTTTATGAGTAATGGTGCTCTTTAGTGAAAAGCATAATGGCTAAATATTGAGGAAACCTGCCTACTCAGATTTCATGATGCCTCCTGAGGTATATTATCACTAGGTGTGACTCTGCCAGTAACAGTAATATAACCTTGAACAAATCATTCTACTATCTAAGCCTCTATTTGTACCTTTGTAAAATGGAGAAATATCTTCCATGCCTACTTCACTGGGTTGCTGTGCAGATCCAGGTAGAAAAAGTTATATGAAAATTCTCCAGGGAAAGTTCCAGTAACAGAGTATGGTTATTTTTCCTGTGCTCACTATTAACAATACCGTGTGGGAAACAGATTTTTTAGGGGAAGATAGACAGTGTTTTAAACAACTGTTCGTATGAGGAAAAAAATATCTTTTCCTCATTCAGTTTTCAAATTATATAATTAAAACTAACTCTACTGTTCCCTTGCAGCTGTTCCCATCTACTAAAAGTGAAACCTGAAAACTCCCTCCCACATCAACTCCCACCATCCCTCTATGGTGAAACCGGAACGCCCCCTCTCCCCAGTAGCTCCAAGTTTATACAACTCCTACAGGCGCCTAGACCTTGCGAGTGTGTGCACTAATCCAGAGGGTCTCTCTCACAGCCCACACACCTCACAGATAAACACAGACACCCCGCAGCCACATCACTGTAAGTGCACTAGATGAAACAATCATCTAGTCATAGAAACGGATTCCTAATCTATACTATTAACAATGTCGACCTAAATAGGTTAGGATTATCATTTAAAATAAAAGCAAGGGAGAAGGTAAAGAGAATTCAGATGACTTGAATTGCTACTAGTATTTATTAATGTATCCTGCCTTGGCCAAAAAATGGGAGAGAGATGAGGACATGAGCAGTGAAGTGAATTACAGAGATGCATGTACCATACAGGAGCCCTGTGGCACAAGGCTGCTAACCAAAAGGTCAGCAGTTCAAACCCACCAGTGGCTCGAGGGGAGAAAGATGTAGTAGTCAGCTTCTGTAAAGATTTACAGCCTTGGAAATCCTATGGGGCAGTTCTACTCTTTCCTATAGGTTGCTGTGAGTGAGAACAGATTTGACAGCAGTGGGTTTTTTTTTTTTTTTTTTGGTTTATATACTGTACAGGATACAAAGTAAAATAAGGAAATGGTGACAAAGAAGAAAGTAAAGGTAATAAACTAAAATAAATCTCAGAGTAACCCCCATATCTACGATTACAATGACCTTGCACTGCTCCGTAAGAAAGGTAAACAAAACTCAGGAATAGCCAAGACCAGGCTTCTCACCAGTCTTTCTCTGCCACGCTCCCAAAGAGAAGTCGAACTTACCAGCCATTAAGAAGACAGTCAAAATCAGTAGCAGCCCCAGGTCAGAAGTTCTCCGAGTGCAGAGCATTTCTGTTTTCTCTCTTCCTGCCCTTCACTCAGCACTTTCCCTCCACACAGGTGGAGAAGGATCTGCGGACACGGGGAGGCTCTCTCTGGTGACTCCCACTTCTCTGTGCTGGGTCTTCATAGCCTGTCAGCAGCGGGCACTCCTTTCTCCTATCCGCTTCCTTCCACTCTGTGTGTTGTAGCCTGATTAGCAAGCTGGCACAGAAGAGGCCCTTCTCTGGAACCTGACCTAGCAATAGATTTCCTGTACAAAGCACTGAAGCAAAGACGGAGGAAGCGGATTGACTGAGCTATCTTTCAGCTCACTGGTCCTCCTCTCACTTCTACCTTGCACAGATAAACTTTACTGTAAAGCACTGAACTACCCAGGATAAACGGATTTGTCTAAACTTGGATTAAGGCAAACAGGATATTTTTCGTTTTTTCACCAATCCATCAAATTTCCCAGTCATGATCATTTTTAGCAGCTTTTCCCATGTTGAAACACTGTACAGCCTTAGTAATAAAGTCTAGAATAAAATGTTTTTCCTTGAGTCTTCTTGTGTGAAATTGCTGTCTATAATGGAAGTCAACACACTCCTCCAGAAGCATCATACGTTTATTAGTTTCCTATTGCTGCTGTTAAAAACTGCCACAAACTTAGTGACTTAAAACAATGTACATTATCTTACCATTCTGAGGGTCAGAAATTTGAAATGGGTCTTGTGGGCTGCATTTCTTCTGGAGGCTCCAGGGGAAAATCCATTCCTTGACATGTCCAGCTTCTAGAGGCCAATGGCATTCCTTGGCTCCTGGCTGCATCCTTCCAGCTTTCGCTCCATCGTCAAATCTGATTCTGACCCTCCTGCCTCACTGTAATAAGAACCCTTGTGATTACATCAGTTCTACCAGGATAAATCTTTAATCTAGTCATATCTGCAAAGCCCCTTTTGCCATGTAAGGTAATATATTCACAGGTTCCAGGGATGAGGACATAGACATGTTGGGGACCATTATTTTGTCTACTACAGTAAGTATTCAGTAATTACTACCATTCACTTTCACCTCTGAAGAGCCAGGCTATTTTACAAATTGCAAATAAACACCCATCTTCAGTTGCCACACAGCTGGAATTCAGACTTACCAGAAACACTCAGTCTTAATGTTGCTAGTTAATATGCATTCAGATATGTTTGGGAGAAAAAAATCCTCCGTGTGCTAAGAATTTCCAGCCCCAAAGCAAAACTCTCCAGGAAGAGGAAGAAAAACTTGCAAACAGGAAAAAGATTTAAAAACATTCATTTTTTTTCTTTTAAGTTAGCAGTTCCATCTTCCCTCTTGCCCAATATTAAAATATTTTTTCCTCCTCCTTCTCAAGCTTTACTTCCAACGAATCTATTTGACTAAACAGTGATCCTTGGGGGGGACAGTCTACTTGAGGTTATAAGCTATGTGACAATAAGTGGACTATGACAAAAAGGACTTCTCTTCTAATATTATACTAGGTATTGGGAAAATCAGTAAGAAAATTTTTAAAATATAACACTCTGGTTTCCACCACATAGAGGTTAAGATACAGAATAGTTAAGACAGTGGGTTTTAGCAACAGGTAGACCTAGGGTGGTGTTTAAGCTGTGAAATTACTAGTGCAATGATGCTGGCAAGTTTCTCAATCAAGTTTGTAACTTGCTTTTCTCACTTAAGATTACAGGTAAGGGTTTTCTCATGTCCTCAGAAAACTTCATGAT